AGCATTACAGGCTAACGTGAAACGAGTGGATCCTGCTCAACGAACTATTAAAGAAGTTAACTTTTCGAAACTACCAGCGACCTCAACTCACGCAACAAACGTAACACAGTCAGTACTTTCTTTTATTTGCAAAGACATGCGCCCTCTGAGTGTTGTGGAGAATGAGGGATTTCGTAATATGATGACAACACTGGAGCCCCGTTACACCATCCCTTCCCGACAACACGTCACGGACATCGCTCTCCCGAAGTTGTACAGACAAGTCAAAGCGACGGTGCTGGACTCGCTGAAATCTGTTAACTTAGTTTTTTCATGTGTTTATCCAAAAAATCCTGCAAATGCTTGTATTTCTTCTCTTGTCAAATACAAATATAGATCCCTCTGTTTGAATTCAGCAAGCTGATGATGCATGTAACAGCATTGTGTGTTTACTATGCTAGGACAGTTTTCCTACAATTAAATTCTTTAAAAGAAACTCAATATATCGTTGTTCCTACAGTATCGCAATATATCGCAATATATCGTATCGTTGCCCCTGTATCGTGATACGTATCGTATCGCCAGATTCTTGCCAATACACACCCCTACTCGAGGTGCATCCCAAATCCACGGACAATTACTGGAATCCACATCAGACGCACTAGAAAAGGGCAAGACATCACTTAATATGAATGACTGGGATGCTGCTGTATCCCTCAAAATAGTCACAGGCGCTTTGTCCCCCCCCCCGAGTTAAAGACACATCCCCCCTCATCAAGAATGGTGCATAAACTTCTAGCTCTGATTCCCGAGACTCAGGAGCCACCTCCGACACAGGTTCAGTCGTTTCAAGACAAACCACCGATTTCACAGGTTTCCTTTCTCCCTGCAGAGCATAGCAATTAGCGATCATGTGCCCAGGCTTCTTACAATAGAAACACACTGGACGCTCCCTTGTGCCCTGACCCTCCCTAATGGGTTTCTCCTCTGCACCGACCGAACCGCCGTGTCTACCCGACAGGACAGAGACACTGTAATCGCTTAGTATGACGTTCTTGTGGCATCGTTTTTTCAAATACAAGCTTATGCGTATGTGCGTACTCGTCAGCAAGGACCGCAGCGTCGGACAACGAAACAGCCTTTTGCTCATTAAGATAGGTGGTAATCCTCTCAGACAAGCAGTTTTTAAACTCTTCCACCAGCACCAAGGCTCTGAGATCATCCAAAGTCTTAACTCCTTGTGACGAACACCATCGAGCAAAAAATACCTCCTTCTCCTGAGCAAATTCGACATAAGCTTGCGTCTCCTGCCTTTTATGCCGACGGAACTTTTGGCGATACGCCTCCGGCACAAGCTCATATGCTTTCAAAACGGCAGCTTTAACTTGATAAAAATCCAGACCGCTCTCAGGGGACAACGCCGCATAAACCTCCTGCCCTTTACCGGTGAATACACACTGTAGCAACACCGTCCACAAATCTCTAGGCCACTTCATAGTAGTTGCAATATGCTCAAAGAGAATAAAAAACATATCCACCTCCTTCTCCGAAAAAAACGGCAACAGGCGAATGTGTTCAGTAACATCAAAGGCAGCTGAGTGTGTACCTGTTGAGAGCGGTGGCACCGCCATGCTAATCTCCAACTCTTTCAACCGCAACACACGCTTCGTCTCCTCCTCAAGCTTTTTCACCTCGAAATGGCAAGTGATCTCTTTCTCTTTTACCTCTAGCCTACGCAACTCTACCTCAAGCTCCTTCAATCTTACCTGCTCGCTGAAACCCGCCTCCTCAGACTGTGGCGGGGTACGTCCGGCCACACGCCACCGAAGTGGCTTTCTTTGGGGCCCTCCGACACAGGACACGGGTAGATGTTATTCAAGGTGTTTATTTGGAGCTTAAGGCCAGTTGGTATTCGCCGAGCTGATGGTACAACATGTCATGACAGTGCTCCTCCTGAGTGTGTGTGTTGATGGCTGGTTTATCCTGGGTGCCATGATTGCTCATGCACCACAGGTGTGCAGCCCCACCCAGCCAGAGTCCAATCAGTGTGACTCAGGCCAGGTGAGGCTGTAAACCAGCCACCAACAACACACACTCCACATAAACCCTCCACACAGACTTAAGAGTGGAAATAGCGCCCTGCGCTGCCAATACTCCCCACTCAGCCAAAACAGAAAGCAGCTGATCCTTTATTACCGGCTTCCTGCCATGCTTGCTCACATCGATGTCATATCGGTCCGCAATGAGTTTCAGTTGTTCTACTGTGCACCCATCCAGTTTCTCATAGGTTGGGCCATCCACAAAACCCTCCAGATCGAACTCCATTGCGACTAATTAAACAAAGAAATCAAACCCGCTACAACTTGGTACGGCGCCCCACCCACCAGGACAACGTGCTTAGCAACCAAGCCAAACACACACCACAAGCCGACGAGACGATACCAGCGCTACCGTCTATCAACATAGGCACGACGCACAATAGAAAATAGCACCATTCAAACAACGCAAGTGAGATCAAACAATCACACTTGATAAACAATAATCCTTTGTTTGGACGAGCCCCCAAATATGTTACGGCCACCCTTTATAACATGGCTCGCGTTTCGGCGGCCAGTAACATAGCAGGAAAACACAAACCAGAATTAAAGTTTAAATAATGATGTCGCTTTATTCAAACAAAGTCGTCTCCAAACTCCCAACAACAGGAGGACTGATTAACCAAAAAAACAAAAGGGGTGGAGGAAGCCTGGGCCAGCCGCGCATTGGGCCGTCGAAGCCAGGACTTCCTCCTCCTACCCTACAATTCCCAGACTCTGCTAACAACGGAAAACACGAAAAAACCTATCAGTCCTCCTATTCAAGGGATCCGAACAGCTCAGGACAAGGTGAAGATGCCAATAGTGAGAGAGAGAGCTGCGGGAACACAGGCCACGCCTTAAGTATCGGTAGTAGTCGTAGCTCCACCCCCGAATCAGGAACACCTGAGAGACAGAGGAGAATAGAGCAGGAGGAATAAGCAAAAAGGGGAGGCGCGTAACATGATCCCAGACCCTGTGGAATTATTACTGCACTCTTACACAGGTTTTTATCTAATACCTGGTTACAATTACAGAGAAGTATTACACTACATGGTTATTGAGACTTGTTTGAAATGGAGAGATATGACTTTGTGTGTGTGTGTGTGTGTGTTTGCTTCCAACTATATAACTGCTCATGCTGTTGGACATTTTGGCCATGCAAAGCTTATAGACAGAAACTGAGCGCGTTGGTTCAGGCGGCCACGCAAGTTACCAGGCCGCGGTTGTAATCAGTATCATATGGGGGTAGATTTGTCTCAATATTATTTGTGTGTATTATTTGTGTGAAAGAGTAATTGGTTGAAATTAACCATTACAAAATGTCAGTATCATTTATAAAATGATTGTTCTCTCTTTGTTGGAAAAAAAACATGATGAAATTCTGATTAATATGCTTCAACTTCAGAGCAGGCAAGCAGGGAAAGGGCAGTCTGTGTGAAGTGGTGGTGGGGGGCGGAGGAGAACAGGCTTCTGCTGTTCTCTAATATCAATTTAATGTACTTTATTTTTTATATGTTTATATTTTTTCATACTAATCTGTGGGCAAAACACATAAAATGATGCTCCAACGGAGGATGTCCTCCCTAACCAATCAACAACCAGAAAACAATATTGACATCATGTTGGTCCAATGATAATTTCCAAATGTCATCTTTAATTCTCTACCAATGTATTGCCCTATGTGAGTGACGATAACGGTAACGGTAGAGAGGGGCTAAAGAGGGGCTAGAGAGGTGTTGGAGAGGGGCTAGCCACTCTTTAGGGCTAGAAAGGGGCTAAAGAGGGGCTAGCCTTTCTAAAGGGCTAAAGAGGGGCTAGAGAGGTGCTAAAGAGGGGCTAGCCATCTGGGACTTCCATGAAAAAAACCATGTCTGCCTGTGTGGTTTGTTACTGTTACTGACTGGAGATCAGTAAGTTTAATATTGATCTAATATTTATATTAACTATTATTTAATATATATTATTTAGTTTAGTTATTAGTGGTTTTTTTAAAGATTTTATTAAAAAGTGCAATCCACATGTTTATATATTACATGTTTATTACGGCGACTTTGAGCTATCTAAATATTTTGTGGTAGAGCCACAGATTTGTTATTTTTTATATTGTTTACAAGGCTTGAAGGGAAATCAATCAGTCAATATTCTACTGTGATTGAAGGTTTTTCTTTTTACAATTCAATAGTTAAATGAAGATATGATATCCATATCAATTCATGCATCAATTAATCTAATTTCATCATAACACATATGTAGGCCTGGCCTACAGGAAAGAGCAGTTTATATGTTGACTGTATCCAATGTTGTGTTGGTCATACTATAGAATGATTTGCTTGTGTTTAGTGAATAATACAGAAAGGGAAGGAAATCACATACTAAACTGCAATTAAAACAAATGGCAATTAAATGATTTTCCCAAATTCTTCAGCCCTAGTTTCAAACCAGGGACCTTCGGCATGTTAGGCAAACGTGATAACCACTACACTACAAAAACTGCACAATGTGGCATACTACACCTCACCAAAAATGTGGTAATTTAAGAATTCATGTAGCTGCTGAAATAAAGACAATTAGATGTCTACTGAAACCACAAAATCCTTAGGAAAAGATGTTTCTGTAGTGTCGTGGTTATCACGTTCGCCTCACATGTGAAAGGCCCCTGGTTGGAAAATGTGCAGTAACATTATGTTATGATAGACATTTGAATGTTTGAGATAGGAATTCAATATTCATTTCCTGACTGATTGATCCACAAAAGACCGTTTTTCCTTTTTCCGCTGCCAGTGAATCTTTACTCATGGCAGATTGCTTTCCTCTTCATGTTTAAATGTGTATCAACGTCAAGATGTTTCAGCCTGATTTCAAAACCGGGGACCTTTCACGTGTAAAGCAAACATGATAGCCACTTCTAAAGTTACATTTGGCTTTCCTTTGACTGCCTGTAAATGTTTCCACCCAGTTTTGAACTGGGGACGTTCTGCGTGGTAGGCGAACGGGATAAACACTACATTACAGAAACTTCTCAGTGGAGCTGCACCTTAAGATAAATGTGGTCATTTAAGAAGAGATGTTTGAGATGGGAACTCAATGTTCCTTTCCTGACTGCTTGATCCAGAAAAGCTGAGATCGGTTTTCCTTCTTCCACTGCCTGTGAATTTTCACTCGTGGCAGATTGCTTTCCTCTTTATGTTTAAATGTGTATCAAAGCCAAGATGTTTCCGCCCGGTTTTGAACTGGGGACCTTTCGCGTGTAAAGCGAACGTGATAACCACTACACAACGGAAACTTCAGAATGGGACTTCCTGTACCTCATCTAAAGTGTTGAAATGTATGAATTCAAGTAGCTACTCAAATCGGGAAAATTAGATGTCTACAGAAGGTGGAAATCTTTAGGCAAAATGTTCACAAAAGCTCTCTCTGTAGTGTAGTAGTTACACGTTCGCCTCACACGCGAAAGGTCCCTGGTTTAAAGAGCATAGTGCAGGTTGGAGACCCCTGTGAGTCAATATGTAGGAACTAGATTTTGATTAAAAAATATATACTTATATATACACTACAGTGACTTCTGGAGTCGTTTTGGGAGAGAATTTTACTTCTGCATCTAAAAACGCCAATCGGCCGTGCAGGGGCGCCGAAAAGGGGGGGTAAAGGAGACGGATTCTAGGGGCCCATGATTGAGGGGGGCCCAGAGAGGCCCCTAATGATGATGAAATTATGATACAGAAAGAATACTTGACAGGGGCCCGTCGGTCGTAGGTCCCCCCCCCCCCCCCCCCCCCCCCGTCAACTATCACGCGTCCGCCCCCCCCCCCCCCGTCGACAATCGCGCGCATCCCCCCCCCCCCCCCGTCGGTCGTCGTTCCTGTGGTGGGCCAGTCCAGTAGAAAATTGCCAGGGCCCAATGTGATATCTTTCCATGGGGCCCCAAATGCCTGGCAGCGCCCCTGCGGCCGTGACGTAACGGGGGAAAGTGGTCAAGTTGAACAATGGAAATTAATTGATTTGAAGCTAGTTTTGACACTGTAAATTCAAATGTTTATGACGGACCACAACCTTATAATGATGAGCCTGCTAGGCGTCCATGAGACCAGGAACAGACCAGGGTTATAATGGTATAACGGTCAGAGGAGAGAAATCCAGTTGTGGTGTGAAGAAATTATCTGTTCATCATATCAGTGTCGACTTGTCCCTCAAACCAATGTGTCTCTCAGATGTTATAATAAAGCCTGTACAACTGACGAATTATCTGTGTTCTTGTGTCGGGACACACATCGCCATATGCGCAGAGTAGAGTTCTCAACTGCATGATTCGTTATTATTCGCTCTTTCATATAATAATAATAATAATAATAATTCCATTGTTGGCATTATTATTATATCCCAACATTGCACAACAAACTGGAATAAAGAAATACGGTAACCTAACTAAGCAAGCATTCTTTTTTAGACTACTAAACTTGGTAATTTCAGTCGACCAAGATTGCCTTTGGTTGACTACAGCCCTAATAATTACTTATAACAGAAACTAATGCGCAAGTATCAGCTCATCAGTCGCATCTCGCAATGCGTAATATAAACCCACACTACGTTTTGCTACGGTGCTCTGCCGTAGAGAGAGTTTCCCTGATAAACATTTTGTTTGATAGGTTGACATTTTCGTCGAGCTGGATCTCTAACGGGTCCGTGACCACTATGGCGGCAGACCGCAGACCGTGACCACTCAGGCGGCAGAACCAGAAGCTGCCATTGACGGCGGACTTGATGAAGCCGCTGTGTGCACTGAAGTTCCTCCAGGCCCCGGCCGTCAGTCTCACCCGGTCCTGGCTTCAGTCTCACCCGGTCCTGGCTTCAGTCTCACCCGGGCCTGGCTTCCAAATCCCATCCTAAACTCCATCGTATCTCCGGGGGGGGGGGGGGGGGGGGGGGGTAATTCTCCAGTCAAAAATGAGCGCCACACACGAGCGCGTTTAGCGTAACCGACGCGGCAGGGAAATCCCAGCTGTGTCCCAATTCAGGGGTTGCATGCTTCGAAGTACGCGGCCTTCGCGGCCTTTGAAGGCGACTCCTTCTGAGGGACCTTCAAACATAGACATATATACGTAGACGCCTCATAGACTGACGCTGCCCGTTAGAGCTGACGTAGCAGCGCGGCCGCCATCTTGTATGGGTCCCCAGTGCGTCCCCAGTGCATTCATTTCTATGGAGGAAGGTGTATCCCCAACTACAATAATAAGCATAACTCCCTGAATTTTTACCGGATTTTCACACGGTTTGGTGTGTTACAAATGGCAGAGATTTATTTATGATACAGGACGAATTAATATATATATATATATATTTTTTTTAAATAATAAGAATAATTGTTCAATCTTACTTGTGAAAGGTAATCCCACGCGATCTGGTGTCAATACTGCGCCGTAAGCTGCACAAAATACTGGCATAGCTCTCCCGTTGACTCCTATGCTAGACTAGAGTGAGGAGACCCAACCAATATGGCGGCGACGCTGGATTACGTTCCAGCACGTCATGAGGCGTCTATGTATATATGTCTATAGCTGCGTTTCAATACTCGGTTGAGTCGCCCTCGCTCACTCGCCCTCAGCCCTTGGTAATACGTCACACGGAGGCCACTTGGAGAGCCGAGGGGACGTGGGCGGGGGAGGAGGAAAAGGGATAAATGAAACGCACCTGCCCTCGCCCGGTAACAGCCTTGGCCATCATGGATCGGCCACACGTTGTTGGAGTAGCGCTCTATTGCCTATTCCAAATAACGCGGAATATACGCAGACTCATATCTTTGAGTCTCCGTATATAGCAATACGCCAGCACCTGGTAATTTCAGAATTATTATTTTTGTTTTATATTTTATTCAGACAATTCATTTATTTATTTTTTACCTTATTTGTAGAAAGTTTGGTTGTTTAAACACATTTAACCTACTTCCAGTTTAGTTGACATTAGTTTTAGATTGTTATTTCTAATAGTTATTAGGCCTGTTACCACCACCATCCTCGTCCTCATCATTGTCTTTAAATGCCCTTTATTGTTCAAGATCCCATTTTTTGGCCGCCTGTGTTCCTGTCAGCCTTCCCTGCAGACCCATCCTCTGTACAATTGTCCTGTTTGACAATAAAATAATTATGTTATGCACACCAAATACATTAAAAACATTATATAGTCTCCCGCAAATAAAATTAGCACCACAACAAAGAAGCAAGTCTCTAGAATCAGAAGTAATAAGCTGAGCTGCCAACTCTCACGGATTGAGCGCGAGTCTCACGTCACACATTCTCATTCTAATGTTCCCCTCTTTGCCAATTTTATACGGAATCGTCTCGTAGACTATTAAGAAAGTAAAGACGCAGAAATACATTCATATGCAATGACACAGTAGGTTACAAACAAACTCACTCCCAGGCAGGGACGGACTGGCCATTGGGCAATGTGGGCAAATGCCACTGCGGCCGCCTGGTGATGCGGCCGCTCGGCCTGGTGATGCGGCCACAATAAAGCGGAGCGGAGCGGCTGTATCAACAGGCGGCCACGGCCGCAAATAACTAAATAAATGAATAAATAGGGTAAATAAATAAATAAAGCAGAGCGGCTGCGTCAATAGGCGGCCGCAAATCAATAAATGAATAAATAAAAAATAATAAAAAAATAAATAAAGCGGAGCTGCAGGCAGTAGTTTATTTTTCTTTTTTATTTGTGACAAATAGTAGCCTATAATAGCAGTATATTCTTACACTTGTAAATTGTTGGCTCTGTCATTACGCAGCAACAACGTGTAGTCTATTGCATAACTACCCTGGCCGATCCGTGCTAGCTCCTTTAATTCATTTTCTTCTTCTTTGGTGGTAAACAAACAGCAGACAAAGGTGTTTGGGGCTCATTACTGCCACCGCATGGATGTATTTTTCGTGCACCACTGCAGTGCATTGTGGGTGATATACAGCTCTGGAGTGACCGTCGATGTTGACTCGATCCCTCAGCCCTCAAGGGTCGATCTCACCAAGGGCACTTCAGCTTTTTAGAGAAATGGAATAGCCCTTAAGATGGCGCTGGTGATTCCCCCGAGGGCAAGGGCTGAGGGCAAGTGAGCGAGGGCGACTCAACTGAGTATTGAAACGCAGCTAATGCCTTCAAAGGCCGTATCAACCGTTGTTAAATGAGACGGTCTAGCCTTCGAAGCATTTCCTGGTTGCGTCACCATCTGCGTCACCACAGCCGTCAGTTGGTAGTAACATAGCCGTTGCCTGTCAGTTTGTCGTCAGTTGAAAAACAGACAGACAGGTTCTAATATAGCAACCAAAAAAAAGATAATAATAACAGTGATAATCATAAACGTAGCTCTTTATTCAATCCAATCGTTTAACTAGAGTTTGCAGTTTCAGTCTGGAAATAAAGCAGGGATAATAAAAGTAATAAAATATAAGTAATTAGTAAAAGTATAAGTAGTAATAAGTAAAAGTAATTAAATATAAACCCAATACTTATTACATTTAAATATAAATTCATCGCCGCTTGGTGTCGCCATTGTTATTTTCCCGCCACTGAACAGCGGCGCGCAAAGGATCTTGGGATATGCGAGGCCGCGAAGGATAGTTGCGGTGCATCCTCCAAAAAGAGGGAAAAGAAGTATGCATTTGAAGGCTGCATTTGAAGGAGCCTTCGAATTGGGACAGCCTTCGCGCCGCGTTGTGACTTAATCGGCCTTCAAATGCGTGCTTCGAAGGATGCAGCCCCTGAATTGGGACACAGCTCCCGTCTCTTCACCTGCACGAAACGCACCAAGGAACATGTGGAATCGATGTCCTGACAGGCTGGAGTTTGTGCAACTTGCACAAACACAATACCTGACTATGACAAATGGTGAAATGCAATAGAAAAAAACTGCTGAAAACAGACCAACTCACCATCTCGACCACTCAGACTGACTACCAACCTCCTCACTACACATTGGGCAGAGGCCGAGCCGAGGTCAGCGACTCACCCACGTTACGGCATATGACGCGTTTTTAGGAGCTTTGCTCAAAACGGCTACTTTTTTCCTTTGAATTTGTGCCCATATATTTTTTAAAACATTAAATCCTGCATTATCTTTTCAAATGGTCATTTTCAGACTAGGTTCTCCAATAAAATATAACCTGTGCTATGCTCTTTAAAGCCGATTTGTTCTTGGCTTGAAAATGTGCGTACTAACCCTACGAAATTGTAAACATGACCAGTTCATGCTTTTGACCAACTTATGCAAAAACCATTTCCCCCCGGAAAGTAACAGGATTTTTAATGGTACAATCGATACGCCTAAAGTAGACCTATACGATAATTGTATCAAGTAAGATTTGATATAAGATAATTCAACTATGCTGCATATTACTAACTGAAGTCATGTCACAAAACTCGAGGTGCGTCCATCAAATGGCAGATCTAATGCAAGAGGATGTGGTGGGGGCTGGTCTAGCGTTGTTAGAGGTTGTGGTGGGGGCTGCG